TGACTATGTATTTTGTGGGCGAAACACAGCAGCCATTTGTGCATAACAATGTCCCACAAACAGTCATGGATTGAATGACCAATTCTTTTTTGAGGGATTATTACCCCTGGAAAGTCATCCGCAATCAACGAACAACCAGGTTTCTACTCACTGTTAAGTAAACAGAGGCGAGTTGAGTAAGGAAACTTGCCTAAGGTTTCGCCCCGCCATGAATTGAACCTGGGTCCTCTTGTTTGCGAGGTGAGCATGCCAAACATAAGGCTAGAAATGTGTGCAGACATTGATTAGGACTGGATTGGTCTTGTCTCTGATGCCCTCTATGGTTGATTACCCTGCCAGCAATGTCTGAACTCACACAATAATAATACCAAGGTGATGAAGGGTTGTTGAGACACATGAAGGCTAAGCATATAAATCAGTGTCTTTGGGAGGGGTGCAAATAATTTTTTAGAGAAAAGAAAAGGGCATTTTATTTATATTTATATTAATACCAGGATGAGATTGGTGAATCCTTCCAATCAATAATCCTTGCATTTGATATTATCACATTGTCAAAACATTTCAAAGCACTTCACATGATTTACTGTAAAGTGCAGTAACTGTTTTTGTAGGCACAGGAACAAAGAAACAGGAGTAGGCCATTCAGACCATCAAGCCTGTTCTGCTATTCTATTAGATCATGGCCGATCTGTACCTCATCTCCATTTACCCATCCTTGTTCCATATCCCTTGATATCTTTACTTAAGAAAAATCTATTCACTTCAGTCTATTGACCTCAGGCAAACACAGCAGCTAATCTGTGCATAGTAATGTCCCACAACCAGCCATAAAGTGAAGGACCAATTTTACCTGGGCGATTTGCGGTCAGGATGACAATAATCCCACAAGAAAAATTATATGCAGCAGTTGAAAGTTAGAGTGAAGGTCAGGAGAAAAACCTAGTTAGTTCTGAAACATCCATGACAGTGAGAATCAGCACATTTGCTTGGATGTGGATCCAGGAGCCGGGAGCCAGTTAGTGGCATGTGATGTTCAGCTTGAATTCAAGTAAAACTGAAACATAATTATAGAATCCTCAAGCCTGTCAAAGTAAGATTTGACAGTGATGCCTTGAACTTGAAGGAAATGATCTTTTGGAGCAGCTTAACGGGAGATTTTTTTTATTTGCGTAAGGATTTAAGGCTGAGGATATGCTTTATTTCCCTGTTTGATTTAAGTTTTGTTAAGATTCAGCTAGTTAAAATCAGCTGATTCCAAATCCAACAAGATTTAATTGCCCTTCCAACACCTACTGCTGTAATAACTCAAAAGGTAATGCCATCATCAAACTCATTATCAGCACAGTAGTAGACAACATTGAACTTACTGGCAGTGATTCATTGTATCACCACAGAGACTTTGCTGCCTGACCAGACTGCACAATCATGGATGGGTCCAAATATCTAACCATCCTCTTGAATTGGGCACACTTCAACTCTGCATATTAAACTGTTTGTTGATAGGAATGTCACCAAATTTGACTTCCTCTCCCACTGAATACATTACTTGCAGAGTACCCAATCTGAATATTAACTGTACAGTGGTATTCTGGTTAGATTATTTATAAACCAGTCTCATTTGAGTGCTTTATATAGCGTGTGGACTATTCTCAGGTTAAATGTAAAACAAATGCAACTCCAAGCTGCATGACATAACATTTTTGCACTTATTATCTGTTTAGGTGTAAATCCTATTGTTCAGAGTATTGTTTGAAGACTAAAACCATTGTTAATTTCATCCTAATTTCTGATTAGATGCAGACGTAAAATTCGATCAATATCTCTGTACTGTGGGAAATAGTGATGGGATCAAGAATATCCCTTATTCTCTGGTTAGATATAAATTAAACCTTTCGATATGGCTTCGAGATTGGGATTCCTTGATGGTTGCGTAAATATCTGTACAAAAGAAAGAATAATAAAGGAACTACCCTGTAGTGCATAAAGGCCATTCCTTCCATACACCATGTACAATCTGCTCTATGTTGACAACTGATTTAACTGGTTTGATATACATTCTGCAGCTGAATGAATATTTGTACAGCGTGAGCCTGAGAGGGATACAAGTTATATCATGTAGCCTATTCACAAGCTGGTTTGACAGAAGCAGGTTTGTGATCTAAATATACTAACTCTGTTGCCTTCAGCAAAAGTGACCAATGTCTGGGGTCTGGGTTTCTGGAGTCTTGACTTTGGTCACTGTAAACAGAAATGTCACTGAACACCAGAGCACAAACAGCCAAATTGAGATGGCCACCACTGTTCTGCATCATTTAAGACCTCCCTCTTTCCTTTGCACAGGTAGTGACGTGTGGAGTGATCCTCCAGCAGCAATTTCTGGAGCACAAAAACAATTCATCTTTTCTAACCAACTGTGGGCTGTCCCCACTAGTTTTGTTGGTACAATACAAGTCCATTTGTATTGGGTGCAGCTCTGGTGCCACCAATGGGCACACAGCCT